TCTTTTGGCTTGTGAGTAATGTTGCTATGAATATTCATTACAAGTTTTTGTGAGGACATAAGTTTTCATTTCTTTTGAGTATATACCTAGGAGTAGAATTGCCGAGTCATATGGTAACTCTGTGTGTAACCTTTTTGAGAAACTACCAGACTGTTTTCCAAAGTGACTGTACCATTTTACATTCCAGCTAACAGTGAATGAGATTCCAGTTTCTCCACATCCTCACCAACCCTTGTTATTATGTCTTTTTTTTAACTGTAGTAGGTATGAATGGTATCTTATTGTGGTTCTGTTTGCATTTTCCCTATGACTAATGATGTTGAACATCTTTTCATGTGCTTATTTATCATTTGTGTATCTTCTTTGGAGAAATGTCTGTTGAGATCCTTTGCCCATTTAATCGGGCTGCTTGTCTTTTTTATTATTGAGTTGTAAGAGTTCTTTATATCTTCTAGATTCAAGTCCCTTATAAGATACATGATTTGCAAATATTTTCTCTCATTCTCTGGGTTGTCGTTTTAGTTTCTTAATAATGTCCTTCAATGCATAAAAGTTTTTAATTTTAATGTCCAATTTATTGATTTTTTTTCTTTGGTTGTTTGTACTTTTGGTATCATATCTTAGACTGCTTAAAGCCATAAAGCCATAAAGATTTACACATGTATTTTCTTCTAAGAGTTTTATGGTTTTAGCTCTTACATTTAGGCATATGATTCATTTGGGGTTAATTTTTGTGTATGGTGTGAGGAAGGGGTCCAACTTCATTCTTTTGCATGTGGATAATCCAGTTGTCCCAGCATCGTTTGTTGAAGAGACTATTATCTCCCCCTTTGAATTGTTTGGGTACTCAGAATGATCTTTATAAAATAACCCCCCCCCCCCCCTTTTATCCCCATGCCCTTTCCCCTTCCTTAAAATCCTCCAGTGATATTAAATAAAATACAACATCCTTTTTTAGGGTTTTTATGATATGCTGCATGATCTAGCTTCTGTCTATCTCTCCAACTTTATCTCATATAATTACCCCACTTTTTTTACTACTCTCCAGGAACACTAGCTAATTTTGTGTTCTTCTGACATGGCAAGCTCATTCCTGTCTCAGGGTTTTTGCATTGGTTATTCTCCCAGCCGAGGAGCACTCTTCTCTCACCTTAATGCTTTGTTGTTCTCCCAGGTCTTCATGTTTCTGGTTCCTCACTATGCAGATTATAGCTCAAATATCACCTTGTTAAAGAGGCCCTCCCTGACGAAATTGTTGGAATTAGTTACCCCCTTTCCCCAGTCATTTTCTGTCCCTTGGCACTGTTGATTTCCTCTAGCACTTACCATTATTTGGAATTCTTAATGATTTCTTCCCCTAATTGGTTGTCATCTCCCATTAGAATATATGCCCTGTGAGGATTGGGCTCTTATATCTCAGTGCTTAGAACAGTGCCTGGCACATAGTAGGTTTTCAATACATATTGAATGATGGAATGAAGCATGCATACGTGAAACATTAGTTACAGAGAAGGTGAGCTCGTAACAGCAAGGGTTTAGCAATGCTTTTTCATCACTCTCCATTGGTGACAAAAGCTGGTATTCTGGGTAATGGAAGAATAGCTTATTGTAAGTAGGAAATTTATATCATCATTGGCGGTCTTCTTCTGAGAATATCACTGAAAAGTCTAAACATGCCCAGCAGTTTACATATCCAAGGTGGGCCATGTTGGATCTTGGCAGATGACAATGCAGGGTAGCCAAGATTCTTGAGAAGTAAGCTGACAGCTTGAGGAATAGTCAGTTCTTAATAACTGGATTCAGATCCTCCCTCTGACTGTATTACTTGTTATATATTGTCTGATAAACAGTTGAATTTATAGTATGCTTAAAGAAAAAGTTATATTCTAATATAGAACAGGAATTGTTCATCAGTCTTTTCTAGTCTCAACGATTGTTTTCAAACTCGTGGAGGGGCCTGAGGGCTCTGCTTTATACCTATTTTACTTACTTGCTTTGTGACAAAGAATTTTGCAGCTAAGGAAAAAAAAATGAAATCCGCAAGTTCTATATGAAGTATCTTTCAGAGCTGTCTAGTTCTTTGTATTCTGATTCTATGTTCTGCAAGTAACTTATCTTACAAATAAATATCAGCAGTTCTTTGGATGGTGGGCACCAAAATTCAGTCGCTGAAAGTTTATATTCCCCATTGGTAATTGATAACTAACTCCTTAATATCAGCAAAGGCCAGGTGACAGGAGAAATGACATATTCCTCATTGTTAATTGATAGCCAACTCCTTAATATCAGTGAAGCCCAGGTGACAGGAGAAATGACATATTCCTCATTGTTAATTGATAGCCAACTCCTTAATATCAGCAAAGGCCGGGTGACAGGAGAAATGACATATTCCCCATTGTTAATTGATAACTAACTCCTTAACATCAGCGAAGGCTGGGTGACAGGAGAAATGACGTAGTCCCCATTGTTAATTGATAACTAACTCCTTAACATCAGTGAAGGCCAGGTGACAGGGGAAATGACATATTCTGTATGCTGAAAGAAGACAAATGCTAACCTATGATTCTGTTCCCAAGAAAATTATCTTTCCAGAACGGAGTAAAACAAAGGTGTTTTTCAGATGAATTAAGTTCTATTCTGTCCTTTAGGGTCGCTACGAGTTGGAACCAACTTGACAGCAAAGGGTTTGGTTTTGGTTTTGGTTAAGGGCCTGTAATTGTTCAAGAAGAGAGTAAAAGTATTAATGTCTGACTTTAAGTTAGAAATAGATGTTATAATTTCTAGAGCTTCTCTGTCCAGTATGGTAGCCAAGCATGGCTATTTACATTTGAATTAAATAAAAAATTTAGTTCCTCAGTTGCACTAGCCATATTTCAATTGCTTAGTAGCCTCCTGCTACTCTTTTGGGCAGCATCGATTTAGAATGTTTCTGTCCTTGCAGAAAGTTTACTGGGCAGTGCTTTTTTTAGAATAACAACGAAAATAATAGAAAACAGTGGGTAACTTCTAGATTAGTAGAAGAGGAAGAATTAATCTAAGAGAGAAACTAGAGACGTATGTAAGTGTAGACACACACTGTGTTCTTGATTTCAATACTAGAATTATGAAGATGTCAGTTCTCCCTAAAATGAAGTATAGTTTTAATCCCAAACAAAATCCAACAGATTGGTGGGGGGTGGGGGAGGGTTTGTGAAATGTGACAAGTTGATTCTTAACTTTATATGGAAATGCAAAGGACTGGGAATAAAAGCCAAGATACTCTTCAAGCAGAACAAGGAGGTAGGACTTGCTCTTCTACATATTAAATATTTTAACCTATTGTAGTTAAGATAGTGTGGCATTTTTGCAGGGATACTTAGACTAATGACCGGGAATAGAGACGCCATAAATGACCATGCACAGAGAGACAGAAATAGGGCACTGTAAACAATGGGGAAAGGCAGTCCTTTCAATAAAAGATGCTAGAACAATTAGACAGCCATAGAGGAAAAAAAAAAAGAAAGAAATTGTTCCTCCCAACTCACGCCCTAAAACTTTATTCTCTGTTCCTTAAAGCCTAATTGTGAAAGGTAAAACTTCTAAAAAGTTGAGAAAATAACATAGGAGAATTTCTTCCTAACTTTATAATAGGGAAGGATTTCTAAAACAAAGACACAAAAGCATTAACCAAAAAGGAAGCATAGATTGATACCACATTAAAACTGAGAACTTGGGTTCATCTACAGACATGTCAGAAAACAACGTAACAGAGTAGAAGATGATTGTAGTGAATAAAGGACTGATATCCGGAAGGTATAAAGAGTTCCTACAAATAATTTTTTAAAAGATAGACAACTCAGTAAAAAAGTGAGGAATTGGCTTGAACAGGTACTTCACAAAAATAGATACCCAAATGGTCAGTGAACATGCGAATTAGTCATCAGGGAAACACAAATTAAAACCGAAATGAGATACCGTGATACACTCATCAAAATGGCTGGCATTTAAAAGTCCGACAGTATTAAATGTTGGAAAAGATATACAGCATAGGGACTTTTCTTCCCTGCTGATAGAAATGTAAATTGGCCACTTACTTTGGAAAACAGTTTGGAGTTACCTAGTAAAGTTAAGGATAAGAATATCCTAAGACTCGCAATTTGACAAGAAATTACACTAGAGAAACTCTTGATGTGTGGATTAGGACAAACGTGCAAAAATGTTTACAGCACTATTATTTGTCTTAGCCCAAAACTGAAAACAAAGCAACTGTCCATTAGAAAAGAATGAATCCGTATGTTTATGGTATATTCATAGTATGGAATGCTTATACTAATGAAAACAAACAGCTGTGTACCACTGCGTATAGCTAGCTAGCATACTGTGCATTTGTTATTTGGTTTATTTTTGTCTCTGTTCTAGAATATATGTTCCCTGAAGGTGTAGATTTCAACTGTACCTCCAAATATAAAGATTAAATAAAAATCATGAGGCAAATACTGCCCCTGATTAACAGGCAATTTTTTCAGGAAAATAACGTTAGTTATTTCTGCTCATAACTCCATTGTAATTTGCTAGGAACTAAATGATAAATAAAATAGAAAAAAACTTGGTTAACCCTATAAATTAACATCTTTAGGTTTGCTTTGCTTTAAATGTGAAACGTTTATTTTTGAGTAAAAAACACTGAAATTTTCTTATTTTCCTCCTGAAATAGTTTACTTTTTATTTTAGTCACTTAAATACATCTTTACAACCTTAAAAAATAGTTACATGTAATAATCCTTTTTCTTTTTTTTGCATAATTGAAATAGAACAAAACAGTATTTTTGATAATGTGTTATAGTAAGCTATAAACAAATTGAAAACTGTTGGGTGTTGATTTTCATGCCGATTTTCTTTTTCATAATAATACTTTTATATTTAGAATTGTATTAGAATAAAATCCTCAAGCGTGATACGGTTTTCTGTTGTTGTCACTTTTAATCTTGTCATGATTAGTGAGTCGGTTGTTTGTTTTCCAGATTGCCGACGTTGTAAAAGCTGTTGGTAACTGCAGCTACAACCAACTGGTGGAGAAGATCATCTCTTGTAAGCAGTCAGACAACAGTGAGCTGGTTAGTGAAGGTGGGTGAGTGCTGCTATTACCTGACTCTTGTTCTTGGCAAAATTAGACTTCTGAAAAATACAGATGATGCTCCTGGTAGGAATTAAAGAAGTAATCACTCATAAAGGTGCCAGTGAAAGGTTTTTCTAGAACCTTTTCATCTGACCTGTAAAATCAGATCTGGATTCTAATGAGAGTCTTTGGAATCATTTGCTAGCCTTGGTGTGGTAACCTCTTTTCTTTTAAAAAAGGATGATTATTTGGGAGTACTGAGTGAGCTTTAGAATTCATAGTGAACATTTCGGTTGACTGAGATGGGTGTTATGGAGCTCGAGTGTTCTCTTCTCGTGGAGCTCTGTCTATGTTTCAGTGCACTATAGTGTATTAAAGTCACATTCTGGATCTGAGTATACCTCTCATCAGTTTTGCTGATCCTTGGCTAATTGAAAGTATTCATCTTCACAGAAGCAGTTTTACATTTTTCAGCTGTGTTCTAGTCAATGATAGGAAAAGGGGATTTGCAACTGGAATGCTGTCAGGAACCATAACATCTGGATATACCTTCCCTACCACCCCCTTTACTTTTTCGTGAATACCCTCTCAAATCCTGAGGCTACTGTTCTCCTTTGTTGGAAGGACAAATGAAAGAAACTATGAGGAGCAGGGAATGAGCTTCATCACTCTGTCAGACACAGTTCTTTTTACCTGAGGTATAATAAAAGTTTATTACAATTATCATGTTTTTAAAAATTAAAACTAAGTGACTACAAGTGTATAAAAAAGTGCATTAAAAAAGTCATATACTCAATAGATGGTCCTGGATAGAATGGGAGAAAAATGTAGAACAAAACTCAAATTCCTAAAAAAAGGGCAGACTTACTGGACCAGTAGAGACTGGATGAATCCACGAGGCTATTGCCCTGAGATACTCTTTAAACTGGGAACTCAGACCACTCCCAGAGGTCACTTTTTAGCCATATGACAGACTGACCCATAAAATAAATAATATCACCCAAGAGTACTGTGCTCCTCAAAATAATTGTCTAGATGAAACCAAATGGTAAACGTTTACCCTAGACCAAAGATGAGAAGGCAAGGGGGGACAGGGAAGCTAGATTAATGGAAACAGAACCACCAAAATGGAAATAACAGGAATGCTGATATATTGTGAAGAATGTAACCCATGTCACTGAACAATATGTATAGAAATTGTTAAATGAGAACCTAATTTCCTGTGTAAACTTTCACCAAAAACACAATAAAAAAGAAGTCATATACATGAATCCCATATTGTACTGATTAATCAGAACCCAACTAATTATGTTACTCAGTTATCCAGAAGTTCTAACACATTTATGCAAAAGAGGCAAGTAGCAAAAACATACACAGTATTTTTGTTGAGACTTATCCTTGTCATCTTAGATAAACACATGAACATACAGAACCATTTATCACTGATTTTTATGACAACTCTTTCACTACAGCCTAAGGCAGCAGAGTTTAAATTTTAGTTGGGGAAAGCAACAAAAGCTGCTACAAAAATATTTTCTCTCAAGTAACAAAATTCCACTCATTAGAACTTTCCATTCCCTATCCAAGCTTTCATTACCATATATGTATTCCTAAAAATCAGACTATAAAGAAAATTTCCATCTGTGGAATCCTACTTTCTCATTAACTTCCAGTATGCTATTCTAAACCAGAAACCAAACCCCTTGCCATCGAGTCAGTTCTGACTCAGCAACCCTATAGGACAGAGTAGAACTGCCCCATAGGGTTTCCAAGGAGCGGCTGGTGGATTCAAACTGCCAACCTTTTGGTCAGCAGCCGAACTCTTAACACTTGTGCCACCAGGGCTCCAATGTGGTGTTAGAGTATGCAATTAAATAGTAATTAAGAGAACAATAGGATTCAGAAAGTGGTAACAGTGAGAATGATAGCCAAGCACTGATGTTTGGTTGGGCAGATTTATAGGGCAAGAAGCTGTAGGAAACACCATCACAGCGTCTTTCCCAGTTAGGCTGCAGTGTAACGAGGGTATGAATTAGTTAGTACATTGATTCACAAAAGGAATGAAAAAATCAGTTCCTTTGTCACATCGCTTTTTCCTCGGCCTGTTGTTACAACTATTGTTATTATTTCCCTGACTTTGATTCCCGAGGATAACAAAAAGCCATAGATAATTTATGTAGTATCTGTAACTTGGGAAGAATCTTTGGTGAAATCAGGGAAGGAATTGACCTCTTTAATGGTATAGAATTTTCAGGTAATATACGCCAGGCATATGTGTTGATTAGCTCCTTGATATATAAATCCTATCCTGGTGAAATTCTGCATATCAGATTTTCGTATTAAGGGATACTTATACGTGGAATTTAGTACAATTAAAAAACCAAACTACTTTTTATTTATAAGAAGCTATAAGTATGTAGTCTGTTTGAAATAATTATTTAGCCGCAATGATTACTTGTATAAGGCACTAAGAAATCATATAGAAAAAGAAAAAGGCTACAATGGGCATTGTACAATTAGCGATTAGCTTGTTCCATCATTTTTCCCCATCGTATTTTCTTGGGTATAGCATTCAACTGAAGTAATCTGCTTTCTTTTTCTATTTGGCCTACAACTATAACTTCCCTTTTGAATCAATAAAATATCCAAAAGTTGGTTTGTTTCTAACCCATCTTTGTTAAAAAGTATTAAACTTTGGTCATAGAAGATAACTACTTTTTAAAGTTTTTTTAGTTCAAATATTTCATCTTATCCAGGTACAGAGTATAAGAAGCCCTTCTACTAGCATTCGTTTTTGTGGGAAAAGAAGTATTTAGCTAAGAGTCAAGTAGCCTTAGCTGTTCTTTCCACTTGTTTCAGATAAAGTTCTTTTGATGGCAATACTTTGTAAGTAAAAATACGGAATTTTACTTGTTATAGAGTACATATTATTTGCTACTTCTTTTTGATGTTAATACATATTAACCTTTTGGAATCTCATTACAATGATGAGTTGTGACATGGTAGCAAAAATCAATGAGGAAAAAAAAATAGTGCAATAACAAGTACCAGACTTCATCAGAGCTGGTTGTTTAATTCTAGATGCTCTCTCAGCGATAATTGCTTCTTTTACAATTGTTTCTAGATCATAAATATGCTTATCAAAATAATTCCAGGATATTTATTCATTTATTCAAATATTTATTGAGCCTCTATTATGTGCCGTACACACTGAAAATTATAGTTTATATTCACATTATTTTTTATTAAATAATGTTGGTTTTCTTTTCTTTTTCCAATTTTTATTTTGAAAAATCTCAAGCCTATAGAAATATTGGAAGAATAATAGCACAATGAACACTTATATGCTCTTCACCTAAATTCACCAACGATTAACATATTGTATGCTTGCTTTCTGTATTCCTATATGTACACACATACATATACTTTTTTCCCTAAACATGTGAGAATTAGTTGCAGATATCATACACATCACTTTACCCATAATTGCTTCAGCATATATGTCTCCTAAGGACAAGGACATTCTCATATATAATCACAATACAATTATCTCAGGAAATTTAGCCTTGTTACGATACATACAATACTATGATCTAATATACTGTTCATATTCAGAATTCTCTAGTTGTTCCAGTAACATCCTTAATAGGCTCTAGTCAAGGATCATTTAGTTTTCATACCACTTTAGTGTCTTGTAATCTACGACAGATCCTATCTTAGTTGCCTAGTGCTGCTATAACAAATACCACTGGTGAGTGGCTTTAACCAGCAGGTATGTATTTTCTCACAGTTTAGGAGGCTCGAGGTCCGAATTCAGGGTGCTGGCTCTAGGGGAAGTCTTTCCTCTCTGTTGGTTCTGAGGGAAGGTCCTTGTCTCTTTTCAGCTTCGGTTCCTTAGTTCCTTGGTGATCTTCATGTGACGTGGCATATATCTTCCCCCACCTGTGCGTCTGTGCCCAATCTGCTCTTTTTATGTCTCAAAAGTGATTGTTTTAAGGCAGACTCTACAATAGTATGGCCCTATTAACATAACAATGAAAACCGTATTCCCAAATGGGATTACCTCCACAGGTTTTAAAAAAAAAAAAACCCTCCTTGCCATCCAGTTGATTCCGACTCATAGTAACCCTATAGGACAGACTAGAACTGCCTCATAGGGTTTCCAAGGAGCAGCTGTTCGATTCAAACTGCTGACCTTTTAGTTAGCAGCCGTAGGTCTTAACCACTGCACCACCAGGGCTCCATCCACAGATATAGAGGTTAGGGTTTACAACACATGTTTTGAGGGGACACAATTTAGTCCATAACCTTTCCTTTCTTCCTTCCATTCTTTTTTGGTCTTTTGTGGCATGGACTTTCTTTTAATAGCCCAAACTAGTATTTTTGTAGAATATACCTCAATTTGGATCAGTCTGATTGTTTTCTCATGATTAGATTCAGGTTATATATTTTTGGCAGAAATACTGCATAGGGGATATTGTGTCCTTCTCCGGGAGTTAAATCAGCAGAGACATGTGTTGTCTGTTTATTCGTTATTGGTGATATTCAAAGTTGATTAAGATGGAGTCTGCTAGATTTTTTTTATTATAAGCATGCTCTTCTCATTTTGTAATTAATAAGTAATCTGTGATGTTATACTTTGAAACTGTGTGAATATCCTGTTCCCTAACAATTTTTTACCCGATAGTTATGGCTTCCATTGATTCTTGGCCTGAGTCAATTATTACTATAGTGGTTGTGATGTATTTATTATTCCATCTACATTCATTGGCATTCTGTTGTTTGTTTATTGTTGTAGTTTAAGTGAAATTTTACATTTCGAGTTAGTTTCTCATACAAAAATTTATACATTGTTATGTGACCCTAATTGCTCTCCCTATACTGTGACAGCACACTCCTCCTTTCCACCCCTGATTTCCCATGTCTGTTCAACCAGCTCCTGACCCTCTCTGACTTCTCATCTCACCTCCAGACAGAAGCTGCACATTTAGTCTCATGTATCTACTTGAGCTAAGAAGCACACTCTTCACGAGTATCATTTTATGTCCCACAGTCCAGTCCAATCTTTGTCTGAAGAGTTGGCCTCGGGAATTGTTTCAGTTCTGGGTTGACAGAGAGTCTGGGGGCCATGCTTTCTGGGGTTTCTCCAGTCTTAGACCATTAAGTCTGGTTTTTTTACTAGTATTTGAGTTCTGCACCCCAGCTTTCTCCTGCTCCATCAAGGACTCTCTGTTGTGTTCCCTGTCAGGGCAGTCATTGGTGGTAGCCGGGCACCATCTAGTTCTTCTGGTCTCAGGCTGATGGAGTCTCTGGTTTATGTGGCCCTTTCTGTCTCTTGGGCTAACGCTTTCCTTGTGTCTTTGGTGTTCTTCATTCTTCTTTATTCCAGGTGGTTGGGACCAATTGATGCATCTTAGATGGCTGCTCGCTAGCTTTTAAGACCCCAGACGTCATTGGCATTCTTTAAAAAGTCATTTTCCCTTCTCCTTCGCCTCCCCCATTAAAATTTTTATATCCATATAGACTCATGGATTCTTTTTTATTTGGTGTGTTATAATCCATTATCATCATTTTTCTTTTAGATGCTCAAATTGTCCAAAATTGGCCAGTGGGATGCCCTCAAGCTGGCCCCCATGTTCTTTTGACATGTCCTCATTATGCTTTGAGTACTTTCTTACTTTCTGGCACAGTAAGATGTTCTGGGCTCCCTATTTATACCCCTGGATCAAATCACATGTGTCCTTATATTTTCAAATAAAATCTGGATATTTGTTATATTTGAAAGGGTGTTTTGTCCCATCTTTTTGAGGAAAAATATTGTTATAACATATGTGGTTTCTGAAACTTGAAGGTAGATGAAATTAAAAAGAAAATTAGATCAATGTGTTTAAAGCTGTCAGAGTGAGAAAGTTAAGTTCTTCTTAACTAAGCTTGAACTGAACACAAATCTCAGACAGGGCTACATCTAAGGAACATTTTAAAATAAGTCAAGTTTCCTTCCTCTTTCTATTTCTTTTTGCCTAATTTTAGTTCCCCTCTTTCTAATGTCACCTCTTTTAAGTTAGTCAGTCAGTACTTTAATGTTCTCTAGTAACTCTCTAGTAAGAGGAAAATATTTTGATATACTAATTTATTATTGAATTTCTGATGGTAAGGAATATTTTCACACTAATACTGTTGGCAAAATATTTTTTTTTTAGTTTAAGTTTATTTTCAGTAATATTCTTATTTTATTATTGCCAGTATATTAGTTTTTTAACCTTACTTCAGTATCATCAATAATAATATCTGTAACAGTAAAATTGAGATTCAGTTAATATGAATGTTGCAACTAAACTATTTGTTATTTGAAACTAGACTATTTAAAGCAATGCAGATAAGTAGACTGCTGTGTAACACTTAGAATTCTTACTAAAACTTGTTTAATTAGTTATGAAAAGTTGAAACTAGGTCAGCCTTTTTGAATATCCCACTAAAATCACAAGGATGTCACTAAGAGTGACAGAAGAATTAGGAAACAGTAGTCTTAAATAGGCTCTGTTTTATGGTTTGGGGAGATGTAGAGCTAAGTCAGCATTTGTAATGATCATCTGCACTAAGTTTTTTACTTAATACCAGTAATTCTCCTGGGTTCCAGTCTTCACTTTGCGGTAACTACTAATGCTCTTGGGCAAGTTACATATTCTGTTCTCTCTGAGCTGATGTCCTGTTCTGAAAAGGAGTAGCTGGGAAAGACCCTCGTAGAGTTTAAAAATTTGAATTTCACACTAACATGAAAGTAATATTGCCCTGTATCTCTACTGAACTTATGCATCTTTTTGAAAGGAATTTGCAGAGAGGATTATTGTGGGAGTGAGGGGTGGGAGTGGCAGTTAGACACACTGTTCTGAAGGAGTGTTTAGTAATATGGATATTTCAGGCAGCAGTGGGTACCACCCCACACAGGCATAATACTTTCTTTTTAAATGCTACATAATGATAAATATTTTAGGACATAACAAATATATTCTACTTAGTAACTTAGTACTTAGCAAAGTAACTAACAGTTTGGGGGCAGGGAGAAAATTTCACTTCTAAATGTCTAATGCTGAGAAGTCGCAGGGGTGCTGTGGATTTCTTTCAGCTCTGGCTTTATCAGCCTTTGCACTTTCCCTCCGCCTGAACCAAGCCCTTGGAATAGTGTGACGTTGGTAACTTTCTGCAGCCACCTTTCAGCTTCAAGTGCTGTGGCCGGACCCTGAAGGTGAAGGGTGGAGAGGGAGTGGAATAAACCCACACAATCCTGCTTTCTTTGGCCGTTATCATGTCTTTACCCAAATTTCTTTCAAGTTTACTTTCAAATTCTTGCTGAAATGTCAATTTCTTAACACAGATTCATCTGTACGCCCTGTATCAGCTCCTCTGCTAACAATAAAACTTTTAGCACAGTCCCTTCCCTCTGTTGCTCCTGAAACATTTCTTCCCTACAAAGGAAGGAGCCAAAGGAGGAAGGAAGAAAAGAAGGACAGAAGACAAATACAGGCTGTTAAATAATATGTGTGTATATATCGTTTAAATTACCCCAGCAAACTTCGATATATTTCATTGTTTCAAAAACAGAACAAATAATTTCTGTTTCTGAATTTGATATATCTACATAATGAGTGGCATATTTTGGAGGAGTTGAGGATAAAAATTACATCAGTTATTCCTGTTCAATCTTATTCCTACTTTTAATCTTAAGGCAAGAGCTGGCAATTTGAGACTTGAGAATTCTGTGGTATCTTTGTTAAAATCTTAGGCAGCTCTCTTTGTTAAGGCTACGTTTAATTTCTAAACATGTAGCCGCTGGGGAAGTAGCTGTTGACATACATCTTTCTCTCCTACCCACTTTTAAAATTACTAACTCTGCCTTCGTATTTGTTTTAATGTGTTTTATTTTTATTGTGTCTGTGTCTTTTATTACAAGCTACCTGAAATCCTTTTGGAAGTAGGTGGAGTATGAAGTGTGGACACATTTATTGACTTCACACAGCTGTTTCTTAGGATGGGCATGCCTATCTTCCATAGAAGATTAGAAAGAAGAATCTGCAAGTCGGGGCCATTGTATTATATCTTAGGAAAAGTCTCATTTTGATTGGCTCTTCCCTATATTTGGAGCATAGTGTAAATAGAAAAAGAATAACTTATTAATTTTGAAATTATTCTTCCATCTAATATTATGCATTGGTTCCATAGGCTTTGTAGCTGAGCAGTTTCTAAATAACACAGCCACTCAACTGACATACCATGGATTATGTGAACTAACTTCAACGGTTCAGGAAGGAGAGCTTTGTGTGTTCTTTCGGAACAATCATTTTAGCACCATGACCAAATACAAGGTATGACCTAGAAATAGCTATTTAACTCTTATTCTAAATTAAAGGAGGCTGATTTAGAGATGTCTTATAATACGCTTTAGGATAAAAGATTTTAGCATAAAATTCGTTAACCATCAGATTGTGAAGATAATTAAATACTTCCTTATGATGGAATGGATTAGCAAAGTAAGTGTAACCTCAAATCAGTTTTTTATTTTTAATTAAATCTCAACTTCTTTTTCACAGATTACTGCATTAAAGAGTATTTATTATTTTAATTTCTAAGGAAAAAAAAAAAAGAGAGACATAAACCCTAAAGATAGAACTAGAATGACTTCTAATTATGGGTGTTTATGTTTGAGGGCTAAAGGAGTTGAAAGAAAGAATCAAGGTTTGCCTGGATGACAGTATTTGCTATTAAAGTTATCAGTGTGACTTTATAATTGTTCTTATAGGCTATTTATGGTTCTGCCAAAAAAAAAAAAATCTTACTGATTTATCCCTTTTGTTATCTCTTACATCCATTCAATTTTTTACAGCTGCTACCTAGCTCAAGGCTTTATGAACTTATACCTAGACTTCTATAGTAGAATCCTTCTCTGATCATGTCAATAATATAGCAAAAATGTTTGGTAGGACTGAGTACCTAAAGGATGAAGTTCCAAGATGTTTTCTACTATTCCCCTGTGCCAACACTTTGCTTCAGCCAGAATGGTCTGTCTCCTTATTGATACCTTCCACCCCACATATACTTTATGCTCTCTCAATTCTGCATCTTCACTGCCATTTCTTACTCCAGAGTCGCTGTTGGGAAGGATGTCATCACTCCTTTTTGCTTATCCAAATTTTATCCATCCTTTAAGAAGCATTGCAAATACTAATTCCTTAAGCCAGTGGTTCTCAGCCCAGATTGAATGACAGAACTGCCTGAGGAGCTTTTAAGAAAATACCAATGCTCAGAGCCCACCACCAACTCCATTAAATCAGAGCCTCTGGAGCGGAGGCCTCAGCGTCAGTATTTGTGTAAGTGTTCCCAGGTGATTCTCACGTGCAGCCAAGGCTGAGGACTCCCGGCCACCCCATCCTGGTTGGGCCCTTACTGATTAGTAGCTGGTTCCCTGTTTCTTTCCATGGAAATGTGTCTTATTTTCCTAAATGGAAGTAAACTTATTGAAGTCAGGACTCAGGTCTTATTTCCTTAAACACTTTACTTAGTGAATTGCACAGAGTAGTGTAAAATAATGATTTGTTTGCTTATGTCAGAATACCATAAAGCCCTAGCTCTCCTATTCCCATCTTAGTTATAGCAAGGGTTCATTTGTATTGCTCCCATATTTTTGTTAGGTACATGCTAGGTATGGGCCCAGAGTCATCCACACTCCTCAGAAATGTAAGGACAAAGTTACAAAGCACCCTTACATCAGAATCAGAATTACTGCTACATAATGATTACTGCTAAGTCATTTTGGCTTTACCTGACCTCTTCAAGGAGCCCTGGTGGTGCAGTGGTTGAGAGCTCGGCTGCTAACCAAAAAAGTTGTCAGTTAAAATTCACCAGCCACTCCTTGGAAACCCTTTGGGGCAGTTCTACTCTGTCCTGTACAGTCACTACGAGTTGGAATTGACTCGATGGCAGTGGCCTTTGACCTGTTCAAGTCCAAACTTTATTCATTCATTTAGCAGATACCTATTCAGCATGTATTATGGTCTGAGTGCTCAGCTAAGTACTAGGACTGCAGCTAAGAGCAAGGTCGCTGTGGTTCCTGCCATTTAAGGCTCTGCTAGTTTGACAAGGGACAGATGTTAAACAAATATTTACACAAATAATTTATTTCTATTGAGACATACCTGTAAAGGGTACATACAACTTGCTGTGAGAGCTTTTATTAAGACTTTTAACCTAGCTGTGGGTGTTAGGAGGGACTTCCTGGAGAATGTCACATTTAAACTGAGACCTGAAAAATGAGTCTTCTAGGAGTTAATCAGTTAGCCAAAAAAGGGTTAATTAAGCAGATGGAACATTGTGTGAAAAGGCTCTAGGAGGGAAAGAGCTTGATTCATGAAGAAATTGAAGGAGGGCCAGTGTAGCTAAAGCCGAGCAAAGGAGAGGCAGGAGAGGCTGAAGAGATAGGCAGGTAACCGATCTGGTGGACTCTGGAGTTTAGAGGAGAATCAACCCTTGGTTTCCTGATGACCCTGTAGTTCTTCTCTTTCTCACTTTTTGGCTCAGCTCAGCAGCTATGAGATAATTCGGCAGGAAAACACAAGGTCTCTGTCTGTCAAAAGTGAGCTCCGTATGTTCCTTTTCTATCAGGGCCATGTCCTTGACCAAGAAATCTGTTATTAGTCAGCTAGGTATTCTCTGTTTCTTATATAAAGCAGTGTATGGTTGGGGAGGAGGTGCCTCTGCTGGGGCCCTTTCCACCATATGTCTGTGTCTGGCTTAAGCATGCCTTTTTGTGAGATAATGATAACTCTGGAAATGTATGTTTTTTACTGTTTCTCTGTTTCCAGGTTTTTCTTAATAAGTCTTATTCTAGGGCTAAACTATGTACCACTAGTGATATTTGTCTGCCTGCCCCTTACATGACATTAAGGTGCTTTGGAGTTTGAAGCAAGAGTGGATGTAAGAATTTAGTCAGGAGACTATTGCAGTAGGCCAGGTAGGAGATTATAGTGACTTGGACTAGGATGGTAAGGGAATGGAGAGTAGACCGAGATTCCAAAGATGTTTAGGAGATGTAATCAACCCGATTTGGTGATTAGGATCTGAAAAATAACAAGAATGACTTGTGGGTTCTGAGCATGAACAACTGGATGACTGGTGGTGCTCTTTATTGAGACGGAGAACACTGGAAGAGGAGAAGAGAGATCACAAAAGACCAGCCTTAGAGCTGTTGGAGCTGCTTCTGAGGCATCCTGCCAAGTGGAAATGTTAGGTAAATTGTTCAAGACTGGGATAATTTTGGCACACAGATAGTAATTTGTGGAGAAGATGAGATTTATAGGGAAAATATAGAAAGACAAGAAAAAGAAATGGTCTAGCTCAGAGATCTGAGAAGTGCCAACAATTAATGATCAAGTAGAGGAGTCTGAACTGGCAAAGGAGACTGAGGAAGAAGAGAGAAGAGGAAAATGTAAAGAATGTGGTATCTTGGGAGCCAAGGGGGAGAGACGGTTTCAAAGCACTGGAGGTCTCCCCTGGCAGATGCTGTTGACGGAATGTGTGAGATAGGAAGACTGGGGAAAGAAGTGTCCGTTAGCCATGTGGATGTCACTGGTTATGTTTTAGAGAATGGTGGTGCAGAAGATACCCAATTTGAGTTGGTTAAGAAATTATTAAGATATCAGGAAACAGAAACAGCTTATAGGCAACTCTTTGAAAAAGCCTGTCTGTGAGCTGGGTTTTTGGCTCAGAGCTATAGTAAGGTGTGGAATTTAGGGAGGATTTTTGTGTTTATTAATATAAGGGACTTGATCATGCTTAAATGTTGAAAGATTGACTAGAAAGGTAAAGGTTGAAGATTCAGGACAGAAGATAATTGATATTAGAAGGCTCCTAAGATGGTGAGGAAAAAAAAAAACCAAAAGGTCAGGGGTTTGAATCCACCATCCGCTCCTTGGAAACCATATGGGGCAGTTCTACTCTGTCCTATAAGGTTGCAATGGGTGGGTTGGTTTGTTTGTTTTTAAGACGATAAGAAGGGATAGGAAGTGTAACCCCAAACACAGGTGAAGGGGATTAACCTTTGATAACGAACCTCTCCATTGTAAAGGAAGCAAAGAATAGACTGCGCATGCCCAAGCCCAAGCCCAGTGCTGTTGAGTCGTTTCTGACTCATAGCGACCCTATAGGACAGAGTAGAATTGTACCATAGAGTTTCCAAGGAGCACCTGGTGGATTTGAACTGCCAACCTTTATGGATAGCAGCCGTAGCACTTAACCACACTACACAGACTGAGCATAGCTATAAGTAAATTTGTAGATTTGATGGCAGGAAGTAGAGAAAGTTATTGTTTGAATGCTTCTGTTTTGTCATTTACTGAGACTGAGTAGGAGTGGGAAGGTATGGTTCCAGATCTGAAGAAGGAAAATTTGAAATGGTCTTTGCAGCACATGGGAGGAACCTCTGATTCTTCTTAGAGAAGCTAAGAAGAATTACCAGGTAGTGCTGAGGATGCAGATTCTTACATGAATATGCCCCTTGCATGCTTTTTCTGCGGGAATATTCACCAGAGTGTAGGCATGAAAAAGATAGAGTGTTAGCCTAGGTTTGGGGCTCTGTTAAGTGAGTGTAACAAAAGGTAGAAGAGCAAAGGAGTTTAGGGAATTTGCAAGAGAATAGTTGAAATGGAGACACTGGAATGTCTACTGGATTAGGAGAGAAGTGAAGACAGAAGGAAATGATGGTTAAGAGAAGAAGGGTCAATGAACTAGTGATCCCAGTGCTAAACGGAATAGTTGCAGTGAGAGTTCTTGAGATAGCACGGTGGAAGGATATGAGCATGGTATGAAAGAATGAGATAACCATTAAGAATTGGTTGCCCTTTCCTACCTCATTTCTAGTCTTCTTGTTTCCAGAATCTTAGGTTTTCCCTAATAATATCTCTGATGCTCTAGGTCTGACTGTGATCTCTTTTGATATCTGTGATTTGGTATTTTACTTACTGCAGATCTCCTAATTTGGGTCTTTTGTTTTCCTGACCCCCTTCACAATGAGTCTTGATCCTTTTCCCTTATTTTTAGCAAGGTGTCTTCTAACTGCGTTCTCTGAAGACCTTGCTGAGAGCCACTGTTCACGCCAACATACGTTTGCCACCTTATGAACTGAAGTATATCCTTTGAGGCCCCAACAATAAATTATACCTCAACTGTTAATGAGTCCTCACCTCTACTGTATCAGGGAAATATTCTGGCAGTGATAAAACTATCATCCCAGAGAAACTTTCTCCTCAGTCCCTGCCTCTTCTTTTGCACTTGCCCCCTAGCCTACCTATTGAATGAGTTTCACTGCATCAGC